CCCATTGGGGTTATTGAATTAACTGCACCCGGCTTACCCTCTCGTTATTGGTTGCGCGCATCCGGAGCCGCCGATGCAACACTCACGGGTCAAGCTGGCGTAAATATCATCCTGAGCTCCATCGTTGGATGATTGGATTCCGGTGAACAGCCGTTTATGTGCAGCCCGTTTGACGATATCAGCTAAGGTGAATACGCAAAGTAAAACAAAACGCTGTTTGTTTGTAAGTTCCGCTTATGATCCCACCGACTGCAATTCTAATGCTGTCAAGGACACATTCTATCACGAACTAAACGCCCTACTACGCAGTGCTACTAGTTCAGATACTATAGTACTTGCAGTGGATATGAACGCACAAGTAGGACATCTGAGCTCTTCAGAAGCTCAGCTGGGTGGTAATTACGGGCTTAACTCCGAACGGACTGACAACGGTGAGCGTCTGTGTGTGCGGAGCACCAATTGTTTCTTAGTAGCACTGTTTCTAGACACAGTGGGCGCCGAAGTGCCACTTGGCGTCCTCCTGTAGCTGGACAGCGATGGACTCAAATTGAACACATAGCCATAAGTTACAGGTGGTGTGGTTCCATCCTGGATTGCCGCTCGTACTGGAGTACGTGTGTCGACTCTGATCATGCTTTGATACGCTGTCGTTTCTCCATGAACTTTACCGGGAGGCGCACCAAGCCTATCCTCCAATTGACAACTGAGAAATTGTTTCAACCTTCGGTAAGAAAAGCCTATCAAGACGCACTGCATACCGAACTTCCGCTGTCTTGCTCTAATGACACTGAGATTCAGTCGAACATGATCTCGGCCGCCATGCACGACTCAGGAGCATCTGCTTGTGGCATTATCCATCGTCACCGCACCAGTCACTGGATATCCGAGAGGTCGGTGAACCTGTTGGAATCTAGAAGACACCCCCGGCTGGTTCTGAACACAATGTGACCAGAAGGGATATTAGACGTGAACTAAAGCAGAGCCTAGGTGCTGACAAGGAAGCCTGATGGACCAGCAGGGCTCAAGAAATGGAGGAGGCTGGAGCCGCAGGCAATTACCGCAAGCTCTTCCAACTAATCCGCACCACCGGCCCCAGAAAACCAGGCGTCAGTGAGGCAATCAGAGACAGCGCGGGTGCGCTGATACACAACAAGGATCGCCGTATGGCTCGTTGGGCGGAACACTTTCAAGATCAGATCAGCTGGCCCCCTGCTCCCGGACATCTTCCACCTCAGGTGATGCAGAACGAGCCATGGACGGTTAGTATAGAGCCTCAGTCAGACGCCGAGGTTCAAAACGCGATCACAGACCTCAACCTTTGTCGTGCTGCTGGCCCGGATTCCCTCCCACCTGCACTATTTAAGGATGGAGGTGAGGTCCTCTGCAAAGCACTGACCTCCCTATTCGAACGTATCTGAAATGAAGAGTGTTCCGGGTGATTGGAGCGAATCGAGTATAGTGGCAATATACAAGAAGGGCAGTCGCACAGACTGTGCGAACCACAGGGGTATTAGCCTAACGCCAATTGTGACAAAATTATTGGCCTCGATTATCGTTAGTCGCCTCACTGTGGAACGTCAATCTCAGATTAGGGAAGAGCAGACCGGTTTCCGCCAGGGTGCGGCTGTATAGACCATATACTCACTCAGCGGCAGGTAATATAGCAGTGCCACGCATACCGCAGACCGACAACAGCTGTGTTCCTCGATTTCAAGAGTGCGTTCGATTCAGTCGATCAATCGATTCTGTTCGAAATACTTGCGCGGAAAGGTGTTCCCACGAAATATGTGAACATCCTACGTGCTTTATACTCGAACACTACAGGCCACGTCAGCATCTACAGTGTCCTATCGGGTAGCTTTCCGACCACAAGTGCCGGTCGTCAGGGTTGTCCGATTTCCCCATTTTGTTCGATTTCGTCGTGGATTCTATCATGGAGTGTTCCCTTGGGGAATCTAACGATGTATGCGTGGAATTGCTGCCTGGTGAAAGGTTAGTTTATCTAGATTATGCGGACGATATCGTCTTGCTTTTCGACGATGTTGGGGTGGCACAATCAAGCCTGAGCTTCACTGATATAAGATAAGCCAAAAAATGAAAGACAACAGACCAAATTTCCATGCTCACTCTTCCAAAATTTATCACTCTCTCCTTACCCAGTCATACGAACCTCAAGGCCTCCGTATGAGTATGGTGGCTAAAAAGGCGCGTCAAACCGAGCATCCTTCTTCATTCATCCGACCACTGTTATATTCTTTCCTTACCCGGTTAAGCCGAACTCGAGTCTTTTATGCCTACATGGAAGCCAACGATGGAAGGTAAACCGATTCCTCGATTTAACTCCTTGGACCGCTGTTATATCCTCTCGTTAACCGGCCATATCTATCTCAAGGCCTCCATGACCACATAGATGCCTATGAAGAAGGTCAACCGAGTACTCATTCTCTTCTACCCGACGACTGTTACACTTTTCCTTTTCAATTATTCTGCAAAGAGCGATGATATCTAGTGCTAACTCTGTCACAGATAGCCATGCGTGCGTATCAAAGTACCATTAATGATAGATGTATTGTGAAATTAATTCTGCTCCTCATTAAACCAGTGTTAGAGTATCGCCTCCGCTACAGACCTTGACGATCTATAGGAATAGAAGCCTGACACATTCTAATGAATGACCATGTCGAACATTTTACTAGTATCTAACACGCATGCCTCTCTTACGTATGTTTACTCACTTTATGTTGCTGAACACATTAGTATTATTCTGTATATTTTCCTCACAATATCTTATATTTCAAAAAACAGACAACCATGGCAGTCTTCTCTGCTTGCGAATCATTTAACGTATTCACTGTTATATTTTTCCAACATGTCCCTTCCTCCGAGACTCGTTCAAATACTGCGGAGAAATATTCCAGTACGCCTGACTGCTCGGAGTATTGATTGCGTTTTGCTCCATGACGAAACAATCTAGCGCAAGCCGTTCCCGACTACAGTGCTATGGCAGCCTACATCGGGTGCCAAGTGTAGCAAAGCAAATGAATAACTAAAAATGCTATATTGAAATATCTTCGCGAGCTATCAATCAACATGTGATTAACACTGTTCTTATCAAAGAGTTGACTGACCATGCTAAATGACGAGTGTTCCCAATTATCTGTATCATCAAGAAATTCGACCGGAACAACATACTGGGTCGTGCCACGCAAATTTGTTTATGTACTTATTTAATACGGTGAAGAGCGAGACATTGTGGCTGGTGTTGGATAAGTTTGGTTGTTCGAGTAAGTGTAAATTTGAATGTCTGCACAGTGGTATGCGCGTGAGGGTGCAGTTGTGTGGACAGAGCTTGGATGAATTTGTAGTGGTCTGGTGTGAAGCAATGCTGTGTCCTAGCTCCTGCTCTGTCTAATAGTAACATTCATGCAATGATGGCTTATACTTTTGATACTGCTTGTGGTTACAGTGTCCGTGTGGAACACAGTATTGATGGTAGGTTGCTGTACATCCGTCGTTTCGGGGCGAGAACCGGAGTCTGTGATACAACCACCAGTAGGTTGCCGTTCGCTGACGACAGTACGTTGTTTGCGCAGTGTGGATTAGTGGCAGCATATGACTTCGGTTCTAGCTTCGACAGAGTCGAAATTCGGGCTATCAACACAAGCAAGACTGTTTGGCTTTTCTAGGAATAGATTCCGCGGGCGTACCCCAAATCTAGATTGCCGACGAAGTGGTGGAAACCACTCGGAGATTTTGCTTCCTTGGGAGCGAAATAACAACCGATCTGCAGATGACGAGCGAGCTGCGCAACCGCGCATTGAAAGTGGCTGCAGCATTTGATAAGCTGAAATGTCGAGTGTGGAAGAACCACCAGCTCACTGTCGAGACGAAACTGCAGATATATAAGACTACGGTGCTATCCGTTCTATACCGCAGTGAAATCTGTACGCTCTATGTGAAGGATATTCGTACCCTGGAGCGCTTCCATCTGCGTCGTATTTTGCACATCGGTTGGAGTGACCGAGTCGCAGACACGGAGGTGCTCCGACGCAGTGGCATGTAAACAGTGGACTGCATATTTCTGCTGAGGCACTTGAGGTGGCTCGGGCATATTCGCCGCATGGTTTCGCGACCTGGACACCGAAACAAGTGCTTTATGGTCAATTGCGTGCAGAGAAGCGGTACGCTGGAAAACCGGGGTTACATTAACAGGACGTGATTAAGGTGAGTTTATCACGAACTAATGTTGATAGCAAGTGTTGGGTCGACGGCAGTGGATCGGCGCCGGTGGCGAGAGCAAATCAAAGTGGCGGTTGCCAAGGTGCAAAAGAAACCACTACTGCATGTCGAAAAGTAACGTAGGTCGAGAAAGTGATAGACGCCCATGATGGATAGCCCATTGAAGTCGAGCGCATTGTGCTGCAGCACATGCGGTCGCCAGTGCCTCAGCCAAGCGAGTTAAGTAAGCCACCAGCGTCGTCATGTTAGGCAAATAACTAAAAGAAGACGAGAATGCAAAATGTGTAGTCATCATCAGTGCGGCGCTTGAAAACTTCGCTGCTTCCGATACAATTTAATAACCCGGGTTAAAAAGGGGGCTGATGTAGTACATGTGCCGCATTGTCGTTGCAGTTATTCTGTCCGTGCGCCTGCGTATTGAAGTTTTTACATTCCAGGTGTTGCCTGTCGATTGATATCCCCGTTGTGGCTGCGCTCGATGTGAATGTTGATAAGGTGCCTACCCGTCTATTACGCACAACCTCGCCTATACTGGCTCCAAGAGACAGTTGGCCGATGGTGGAGGGGACGAGGTGCACGGTCCTCGTGCACGTGCTAGGCTCAGTGGTTCCGTGCATCCTGTGTGGAATGGGCGAATAGATGAGCAACCGAAACGGTAACCCAAGCTACCGGTATTCCGAAACATTTTATACTCGCTGGTACAAGGGGAATACGATGGGGAAAGCGGTGAAGAAAAAGAAAATCAAATAGCAAGGATCTACCTTTGCGCAACAGGAGTCGTCCTTCGAGAATCGCATCATCGACCAAAGGATTTCTTCCACGCCTCGAACCGTACTCGGATGAATCGAGGAGTTGTGGTATACCCAAATGATGAAGTAGCCGATCGGCAAGTCGAAAGAAGCTCACCACACAGAGTAAAAGGATGATAATTGGAAAGTAGATGTTGAAACCCTTGGCGATGAAAGGAATCACATCCAGATGCCCCATGAACTGAGTGTATGCCGTCTCCACATTTGCAACGCTACTGCCAATGCTAGAGGCAGAAGTAGCAGGATCAACCGGGGTAGTAGATGGAGTGTCATCTCGTGACAAATGACTATCCATATGAGCCAGTCCGAGAAAATTCAAGCATAGCGATGGGGTAAGCCGGCACAGAAGGCTGAAACGGAAAGCGGAAACATGAAAGATGCAGAAAATAAAAAAGCGAGCAGCAAGAGTGGGTAAGAGCGCAGTGTCGGTCGTTGAAATGTCGCTATTGCGTACCAAAGGGGGAAAATATAAAGCAATCAAACGCAGGATTTTCACCATGGTCACCAACAAAACTAGCTCTAATAGGTGGAAACAGCTCAACGTGTCTCAGCTACCTCACAACATGCAGGTACAGTAACGAAGAAACAAATCTTACCCACAACCTTTATTCCAATTTAACAACGTCTTCCAAATCTGTCGTTAATATCATTCATTCACTTTAGCTAAATATATATGGCTTTTATTACGGAAACTTGGTACACAGCGGAAATTAGTGAATCTCAGCTTAACCCCCTAGGCTATAAACTTTTCCACAAAGATCGCCCATGAAATAACCTGACTGCGACTACCGTAGATCAAACTGTGCTCAGTGACTTAGAAGATATATAATGGCTGGTGATTCCATCTAGTGATCTTCTGGTGGGTTGTATCTATTGGCCGCCCCGAATCACTCAATGTGAAACCCAAAAGCTAATCGATATGGTTAATGCAGCTTCCAGCACCACCTACAAGTCTAAAGTTATGTGTGAAGATTTCAACCTACCATATGTTAACTGGAGCCGCCTACACTCAGAACGACTGCAGCGATTGAAAAAATAACTTCACGCATCCACCTCAATGACAGGACCCTGCATGTTGGAGAGCCAAAGGGAAGTACCAGTACCCTAAACCTTGTATTCACGATTGGGATTGCTTCCACCCAATATTCAGCGATAATCCCCTACCAGGTTGTGACCCCAACAAGGTGCTTTGTGATATGACTATTGATTTATATAAACCATCAAGTGAAATGCTAACACCCACTCGCAACCTCCATGGTGTAGACCGGAACCCATTTATTGTACGTATCGGTACCAGGATCTGGAATACGTCGTTATTAACACAAAATCCTACTGTGGCTAAAAATGAGTTTATCAACAATATTGCCCTTCGTATGGATCTGCTGGCACCTACAGAATGCAAAAATACCTATAAACATAGTAGTGAACACAAGATTCCATACAAACCCATAACCAAACAGAAGAAACGCAAACCACTGTAGCACAGAAGCAACAGTTTCCTAACATTGCTACAAATACACGAGGCTCCGCTACAGGTACAAGCTCTAAAACAAAGGGGCCAAAATCAAAGACGTTTTCGTTCTAAGAAATCCTGAACAAGTACGTACGTTGATGAAATTGCTCAAAAGAAGGAACCCTAAAGCTCACCAGGAAATTGGAACATCGGTTATAGACGATGGTTTATTAACTCGCGACATCTGCACATGCGCGGCTATCAACTTCAGTTTTGTCCCTAGCATTCAGTTACATCATCCTCTACTTCCAAAACGAACGAACGAGCTATGATGTAATATACCTGAGACGTTGAGAGGTGCAAAGTGCCATCACATCCATAAAACCATCAACTCGTCAAGGCTCAAATGGCATATCCCCAAAGACCATGAAACTCGGCAGAAGAAACAACCATTTAGTGTAATTAAACATCTTCACGCTTTCTCACTACCGGTTGCTTCCCATCTCAATGGAAGCAATGCATTATAATGCCTATGCACAGGGATGGCCCGCGAAATGAAATGTCAACTTATCGCCCTATAAGCCACACCTGTGCCGCAACTAAAGCCTTAAAGAACAGGTAAGAGGTACATTGTCCAATTTCTTACAAGACTAAAGTTGATCCATCTCTCATAGCATGGCTTTCTTTCAAAACGCTTCTGCGTTACCTGCCAACTACAATTCTTTGATCATGTCAGGACTATGATTGACAGAGGAATGGGAATTAGTATAATTCTGTTTGACATACAAAAAGTGTTCGACCGTGTGCCGCACAAGCCACTGCCATCCGTACTAGTCATACAGAATTGGAAACCCACTGCTAAGCTGGTTTGAGTCATACCTACACGATCGAACTCAGGTAGGTCAGCAATACTCCAGGCCAAAGCAAACAATCAACGACGTCTTCCAGGGAAGTGTGCTCGGACCACTACTTTTCCTAATCTAGGTAAACAACATAAGTGACCCAATCAAAGAAGGACGCCCATTTCTGTTTGCTGATGGCATCAAACTGGTCTACTCATTTCATCCAGATCAACTACAGATACGACAATGAAGCATCTGTGAAGACCTATCCGCACTAAATGTAGCTAGTGAACGTTTCTTAATGAAGTTCTCCGCAGTAAAATCCAAAGTAATTGGGTAACGATGCCGCATTCCGGTAGGCTCTATCACACTTGCCGGAAAAGTGATGCTAACATCTGATCCAGTTCGGGACTTAAGTAGTCCAACTCTTTCGATTTCTCCGAACATGTGCTTTATTAGGTTGAAAAACCGAGGCAGCTATGCGGATACATCACCAGAACTTTCTCACTGCCTGAAACACGACCCGAGACATTCAGAATAATAGTACGTCCGACTTTGGAATACTGTACTATCGTTCACAGCTAATTGAGAAATAAAGACAAAACGGTTCCGGAAAATGCCCAACAATCAGTTACCAAGCTGGTTATTGGACGATGCTCAAACCCGAGTTATTATTTGCGCTGTCAACAACACCAAATGGATCCTCTTTGGTTGAGACGCTTGAAGAATAACCTACTTTTTACATTATTATTAACCAAAGAACTTACGCAGACAGCAGCGCACATGAGCTACGGAAGACTGTAATCAACCCCCCTCCCGAAATAGCGGATACTTGCTGTGAAGTACAAATTCACAAATTACAAGTTTTATCCATCTTTTCCTACTCGTCAGCATATGTATAGATTTTATTTTGCCCTGTTACCCCCTTTGTGCGCAATCACGCGGATTATAAGGCACGACCGTGACATCTGTTTATTCACATCACTGTGGTAAACCGAAGCACCGTCCTATTGGCTCATAATCACGCACTTCATCGTTGACGTGCTGGACGCTGCTGTCCTTCTCACTGCTGACCCCGTTTACTGCTGACCAGGAATACAGACAGCTGGGATTGTTTCTGTTCACTGCTGAGAGACACTGAGGCTACGACTACAAACCTAATCGCATCATTTAGGTACATTCAAATTTACTGTTTTGGAACCACGTTCACGATTTCCGCTACATCGAGTTTTGCTTCTTTTTTCCTGGGAATCAAGCTGTGCGTGGGACTAGGCTTATAGAGTGCAATATTTCATCTACTGGCACTTAGACTTGCTACCCACAAAGCTTGCAAGTAATAAAACGCGAGTTGTGGTACAAACTACCACTACAGATACGCAGGAGTGCAAGCCATGTTACATTTCGAAATTCCCTGCAGACTTTCCTCAGTATATCAAATGTGTTGAAGACCTCTGGTTCACAACAATCTCTAGAAACATTGACGGCAGCTGATAACTGTTTACACTTAGCGTACCCACTCGATACCATTACCCACCAAACCAAACTGTGTCCCTTCAAAGCTATAATCCCCCTCCGATTAGTATTATCCACTTCTAAGCCTCAAACTAGAAAACGGTTGTGCAAATATCGGTACCTTTTACATGTTGGGTGATTGGGTTTAGGACCCGATGGAAAATTCATGATCAGAAATGCTATTATTTGAAATCGCGCTATGATTATGAACTTATGTCTCATAAACCATGAAATTTATTCTGTGACATGATCGCTCCCGCTTATGGGGCCGCACAATCACTTATGGGTAAATATACGAATTTACCTATTTATGCGTGTGTGTGCCCCAAGCTGAGGTTGATGTTGTATTCCTGATACGTCTTCACCACAGTTGGGCTAAACCAACTTACACATGAACAAAATCTATTTAATCTGGAGAAAAGTCATTCCACTTCATTTTGTTTGTTCAACCCTGTTAGTCTGCTGCATATTTTGTGTCAATTTTGGGTGTTTGCTTTCCATTAAACGCTGTTGGTTGTTTGATATCCCCGACGTGGCTGCGCTTGATGTGAATGTTGACAAGGTGCCTATCTGTCTAACACCCCTCACCTCGATTACTGGCTCCAGGAGACTGTGAATCGTGGCCGCGCTAGGCTCAAAGAGTGGTTCCATGCATCCAGTATGGAGCGGAATAGGGCCAAGCCACCGCCTGGTGTACGTCTGGTACGCATGATTCCCCACATAGATAAACAGGAATGCTGCTGCTGTGCATGTTGAAGGAGTGTGGGCCGGCTCCGTTGATGAAACGTGGCTCCCATCCACATGCCTCCCGCTCTTATTCCTTCGGGTTTACACCTGATATGGAGTGTGTGGATGGAGCTGTGGGTGGTGCAGCGCAAGCCACCCATGGTCCCTCTGTAGGCGCAGGCGCCATGTGGCTGTCATATGGAGGCCACAGCGACAGGTAAATCTGGAACCGGATGCCGCCAACCATGTATTAATCTATTTATAACAGAGCTGTATCGGTGCGAACAACAGGTGGGCAAAAGGTCAATAAAGACGAGTAAGCACCATGCATGTGGATGTACACGTCTATCCGAAGAAAGTAGATGCAAAAATTGCATATATACGTAAATATACGTATTAAACAGAAGCAGACGTGAGCTTTCGGAGAGTCGAGAAAGATAATTTTTAGACGACGACAGGGTTTGGTAATATGGCGATAACCGTTAAAATGTGATTAGGCATGTCGTGTATTAAAAGAGAAACAAGAAATGAAGCGCGTGAGCTAGGACCGACATGTATGATGAAGTGCGGTGTTCTGCACAGAACAAGTAATGCAGCAAACTAAAGCCGGGGCACGGATCGATAAGATGAGAAAATAATTAAAGAATGGTGGAAACACCCCGTTAATTTGATTTGAGGAACGGTCGAATGGGATTTCCAAATTCAGCTGTTACGGCTACCGGAGTTAGAACCGAACAGCCTTGAGTGCACAGAAGGAAACACCGCCGAACAAGGTGTGTAGACGCAATGAACAAAAATCTGACCGCAAAAGTAAAAC